TTTTTGATTATTATCCTTAAACATTATCCTCTCGTATATAACACTTATATACAATGTTTAAGGTTACATAAATAATCATGGAATTTTCATTGATATTCATAAAATATTCATAAATATATGCACATAAAATAATGAATAAACTCTTTTATTAAATAAATAATAAATATCCTATTACATCTCATGCTTCTAGGACACTATTCCCAACACTTTGGGCCGGTAGGCCTGGCCGAAGCCCAAAATTTTCAGGCTCGGTGGGCAGGCCCATAAGGCTGCCCGTCCAAGCAAGTTTTCGGGCTCGGGCTGCCCGAAATTGGACGACATCGCCGAAGCCCGCCGCCGAAAGAATGCCCTCAACCGCTGACCGCCGTACTTTTTTTTGAAATTTTTTCCCTCCAGCCCAAATTGCCCAAACCCGAAGCCCTTGGATTTGAAATTTTTTTGGGGGGGGGGGGGGGGGGGGAAAGTGGGGGGGGGGGGAAATTAATTTTTTCCCTCCGGCCTGTTGGATCCGAATTTTGGGGAAAAATCAATTTTTTAACCCAAAATTTTCTTTATAAATACCCATCATCCCCCACACATTTTCCTCACCTAAACTCTCTCAATCTCTCACAATTTCTCTCAATTTCTCTCAATCTCTCTCAATCTCTCTCAATCTCTCTCAATTTCTCTCAATATCTCAAATCTCTCTCACAATTTTTCCAATAACTATCACAAATATCCTAAAGCTCTCTCTCTAATCGCTCTTATTTTTTATAATGGATTCTTTCGGTTATGGTGGTGGGCGTGGAGAAGCGGTGAGTGCAAGTGCTACTGCGTCTGCAAGTGTTGCAACCTCCAAGAGGAAATGCAAGCGCACCTGGACAGTTTGGGATCACTTCGACATAATTGAGGGGGTCGACAATGACGGTAACACTAAACACATAGCTCAATGTAAATATTATTATTCTAAATTACAAGGTGACACTATTCACAGTACAACACACTTGAGAAGACACTCCGAAAAGTGTCTTCAAAAGCTTGGCCAAACCGGCGGAGCCACGGAGCCGAACTCCGCCAAACACAATTATCTATTGATCGCGCAACTGGTGGTCTAACCACTTAGAAATACGATCCGCAGGTAGATCATATGAAAGTTGTGCGAATGATAGCTGTATTAGATCAACCACTTAGTTTTGTAGAGCCTCTTAATTGGCAGCGATATATTAAAGTTGTACACAATCCTTATGTAGAGTTTTTTTCAAAAATTACTCTTAGGAAAGATTTGTTAAAATTATTTAAACAAGAAAAAGAAGCATTAATAAACCTTTTACACTCTACTAGCGGTTGCGTTGCGTTAACGGCAGACATTTAGTTTGCCGTTGTCAACAAAGATTATTTATCTGTAACTGGACATTACTTTAAAGGCTTCAATTTAGATAAGAGAATATTAGGTTTTAAATGTGTTCTAGGATCACATAGCGCCGATTTAATATATAATACAATTTTAAATGTAATTGATGAATATAGATTAAGAGATAAAGTGATGGCTATAACACTAGATAATGTTAGTGCAAATACTAAAGCAATTGAATATTTTAAAAATAATTTAAGTTTATTCGGTGATGGTACTATTTTTCACCAACGTTGTGCATGCCATGTAATTAATTTCATAGTTAAATCTGGTTTAAAATCAATGGCTGCTCACATTAAAAGAATTAGAGATAGTATTGCATGGATTCAAGGTAGTAACCAAAGAGAACAAGATTGGTTTAGGTTCTTACAAGCATTAAATCTAACTCCTAGAGCATTAGCCATAGAAGCGGTTGCGTTGCGTTAACGGCAGACATTTAGTTTGCCGTTGTCAACAAAGATTATTTATCTGTAACTGGACATTACTTTAAAGGCTTCAATTTAGATAAGAGAATATTAGGTTTTAAATGTGTTCTAGGATCACATAGCGCCGATTTAATATATAATACAATTTTAAATGTAATTGATGAATATAGATTAAGAGATAAAGTGATGGCTATAACACTAGATAATGTTAGTGCAAATACTAAAGCAATTGAATATTTTAAAAATAATTTAAGTTTATTCGGTGATGGTACTATTTTTCACCAACGTTGTGCATGCCATGTAATTAATTTCATAGTTAAATCTGGTTTAAAATCAATGGCTGCTCACATTAAAAGAATTAGAGATAGTATTGCATGGATTCAAGGTAGTAACCAAAGAGAACAAGATTGGTTTAGGTTCTTACAAGCATTAAATCTAACTCCTAGAGCATTAGCCATAGATATGCCTGTAAGATGGAACTCAACTTATATAATGCTTCAACAATGCCTCTCCTATAAAGATGCTATAACAAACTATATCAGTGCAAAATTAGGAGTAGGACATATAGACCTATATGATTGGTAAATTGCCGAAACTTTATATCAATTTTTAGGTAGGTTTCATGAAGTTACTTTAAAACTTAGTGGAACATATTACCCAACATCACCTTTAGCTTTAAGTGAACTTTTAAGAATTAGTATTTTATTTAGTGAATTTAGGGCGTACTCAATTTCAAGAGTTCCTATCGCTTCTATAGAAAAAAAATTTAAAAAATATTGGTCTAAATTACCAATGTTGTATGGTTTCGGTACTGTTTTTTATCCCATATTAAAATTAGACAGTTTAGAAAGTGGTTTAGAAAATTTAGGTGAATTTTTAGGCATTAATTGTTCTGACCAATTTCTGACAATAAAGACAAAAATAAGAAATAAGTTCTCTCTATAGTAAATATGAGAGTAGGTTTCAAAACAACCGCAACAAACAAATGAAAACCAACATTCATTCATGAATGTTTTCGGGTTGAAGAAGAAGAAGAAGAAGACTCAAACTGAAGCTGGAAGTGGATCTTCATCAATAGGTGGCGGCGGCGGCGGTGGCTTCAACGAGCTTATGGCGTACCTCAGTCAGAGCTTAGTAGTCGACGGTAGTGGAGATTTGTTTGATTTAGTTCAATGGTGGAGGGCACGAGCATTAACTTGGCCAGTCCTAACTTGATTGGCAATGGATATTTTTTCGATCTCAGTCTCCATTATTTCATCCGAACAAACCTTAAGTACTACCGGACGAATACTTGAGGAACGCTGAAACGCATTGTAAAGGGACATTGTTGAAGCCTTGGTAGGCTGTGATCGTGTCGGTCAACGTTTACAGGATACAATTTCACCGGCAAGTCAAGAATGGATCGATGAATTTAATAGATTAACATTTAATTTTGAAGACGATCCTTCAGCTTCAAATTAAATTGTAATTTATAAATATGTATTTACTTTCGAGATTGTAATTGTATAGTTAGACTTTGTAAGTTTGTAAAATTTGTAATTCGTCACAAAATGATTGCACTCTTTTTTCCTTACCAAGTTTTTATCCCAATTGAGTTTTTCTTGGTAAGGTTTTTAACGAGGCAATCATGAATTATAAATTTAAAAATTAATATACAAAATTAATTTATTAAATTGTATTAATAGTGTGTGTTGATTTTAGTTTTTGTATAATTTTAACACAAAATAACTTAATAATTATTTATATACAAATACAATTACTAAATAATAGTATATTATATATATATATACAATATTATAAAAATTAAAAAAATGATAAAATATATATTTTTTTCGGGCCACTCGGGCGGGCTCGGGTTGCCCGACTAGGCCGGGCAGCCAAAACCACGCCCGCGGCCCGTCCATGGGCCTTCTCGGGCTCGGGCGGGCGGCCCGAAAAAATCAGGCAAACGAGTTTGGGTGTCAGGCTCACAATTAGATTTTTTGAGTGGTCGTGGCGGTCCGTCCAAAGTTACAGCACTAATTACATCTAACTTTGTTCTGCTGCAGTTAAAAACTCTCAGAAAATATCACATATTAACTTGAATTAAAAACTCAAATTTGCGAAGCGAGGCATGAGGTCAAGAGACTATTGACGTTTCATTGAGTTGAAGTACTATACAAAAACTGATTGGTGCATGTTCTGCTCTAAATCATACTAAAGCAATTTTAATGCGTATACTATTCAAGCTTCCCTTTTCAAAGTTTATAAAGACAACTGATATCAGAAAGAATTATCATTATTCAATTCCCGAACCTTGGATGTTACTTAGAAAGTATGTAAGAGCAAATATAACTTTATGAGTACATGAGGAGTTTGTATTAAGAATTATATTTAACAATAATTATAACAACCACGTATGGATGATAATTACTACTTAAAGCTATGCCAGCGCTTCCTCTCATCGGACAATCTTTTAGCAAAGCTGCATCACAGTATGATCACAATATTGTCCAATTAATATGGCAATGATCATATAATGAATAGAAAATTAGGTCAAACAAATAATAAAAAGAGAGCATCAAAACCCATCTAAATATGTTTTTGCAGGTTTCATATGATTGTTCTGAAACTGCGCGAGTTCTAATTAATTACCTGATGAGAGCAACTTTATTACTGGTCACACTTTCACTTTGATTAGCAGACATAGAATTGTCAAGATGCGCTATTTCTGGCAAGCCAGTGTCTGGATGAGTCGCTGAAACAGACCGAGTAAGGAGATTCTTCCCAACTTTTTCAAGCCTCTTGAGGTTTTCTGGATTTGCATCGTCTGTTTTTGCCTCGTGGGCTTTCATTGCATAATCCTACACGTCCGCATGTGATGGTCAATTCTACATGTATGCATGACTACCTATAATAAGCTCCTTAACATATTCTTTGAATAGGTAACAATATTGAAGATTAATCTATGTACGTATTGTTTTTGTCTAGACCTTAATCAAATCGAAATTATAACAAACTGAAAAAGTACTACATAAAACTAATGGAACTTGATGATGATCTGACGGTCTAAAGAATTATTTTATATTTGAAATGTCTATGTATATGCATGCGTTTACCTGAATTCTGAGATAGTTGTGTCGAGCATTGTAATTTCCCAAGATAAAGGATGTGTAAATGTCTACCATGTCATCGGATGCCCTAAACATGACATCAAACAAAGGCGACAATCCTTTTTCAAAGCTGAACAACCAATCTAACATGCCTCCCATGCCAATTTTGTGACCCCGCCGCTTTTCAAGTGAGCCGGTTCCAAGAGACAAAACTAAAAAGTTGCTATAGTCGAATTGGCTATAGTTTCTAGGGTTTTCCTTCTCCAAAATCCTCGTTGCTTCACGTATTGCTAGCAATGTCTGAGCAAATAGATATGAAAAATAGTTGAATTTATTATAGAATTTTAAAAAGGAGAAAAGTTTTTTTTTTTTTTACCTTACAAAAGAATTTTCTTTTCAGGAATCATCAAGATCAGAAATTGTTTTAAGTGTAAAAATCAGAAAAAGAGGTGGAGATTAAATATTATTACGGGGTTGTTAGCAGCAAGTCCCCCATCAACTAGAAAGTGCTCTTTGCCATCTGCTTCAAATTTATTGAAAGGGAAGTAAGAAGGCGCTGCTGACGTGCTCACAACTACGTCTTCCAATTTTACCTCTGATTTGTTCTTTTTCGCCTGCGAATTTTTACCATACAAATCAAACATTTTCAAACACATCCCAACCCAAACACTACTCATACTCAAGTTATACCTTGTAATTTATTATATCTATGTTACTGACTTGTTCCAAAAAAAAAAATGTTACTAAGACGTTGCTAATTAATAGTGTAGTCACACCTAAAATCAACTAATTACCGAAGAGTTCATATTGAGTACATATATGTTTAATTTCTACTTGAGGCAAAAACAAAGTATAGTAATCCTATACTTCGTCTGTGTTCACCCTCCCCCACAGTACTTCTAAAAGTGCAAAAACAAACTGCATGTTGTTTTAAGGTAGGACATCAAAAACACAAAACGTTAAACGACATTTAGTTGTTGTTCAAATATGTAACGACATGTACAAAATGTAAAAATAAACACTTGTTAAAACAAAAAGACACGCTGTTTATGTTTCAACTCGAACTATAAGTGAAGGAATTAGGAAACGTCATTTATATATATATATATATAT